TTGATTTTGATGCGTTATTAAGCGACGACGCTATTGGAATTTTTAATTGTTTAATTGCGTCCAAAGTTGTGCCTACACATAAAAGACTAGCCGCCGTTTTTTTATCTAAAGCTATCTAAATGGCTTTTATTTCTTATTTTCGCCAGTGCTTTAGGCAGAATTTCGTATTTAGCATTAATTGAGACATTTTATGGCAATTATACTCATTGAACTGGCTATTCGGATTGTAGATTTTCTGACATAAAAGAATGTCTGTGTTATCTACATATATCTATTTTTAGTTAACTACGAAAAAAGGAAGAACCTTACCTGTACTTAAGTCTAAGTTCCAAGAATTTTCTGGTTACCTAATTCTATAAGTTAGGTAACGCTTTCCTTAAACAGTTTTCTAGATAGTATGTCTAATCACTTTCGCAAACTAAGATTTAATATTTATTTTGTCAAGATTGTGTTTATTTTGACACTTAGGCAGAGGTGTTTAAACACCTGAGAGTTACACTGTGTAAGCACAGGTTTATTAAAAGTAGTATCTTTCTGAGAGATTACCTTTTAACAATGTTCTTATTTGAAAAATTTTGGAATTCTTATGGAAATTTAAGTAATAAGCTGCGTATTTTTCGGGTACACAAATAAATGGTGTTTGTGGTGATTCCTTTTCTATACACTCCCAAAAATGTTAATTAAAAAATGGTTTCGTTTTCATGGAGTACATTTTACATTTTGGAAATAAACTACTTAAATTGGCATATCCTAAAATATGATGTCTGGCTATCGCTAAACAGACCATGTTACAATGTACAATACCAGAGATCCAGAAATCCCGAAGCAATTACGAGGCCTCCAAAGAGAGTGATCGACATAAGGAGAAGATGATAAAGGGAGGGATAGGGGGCACAGAGGCGGTGAGAGAGCCGAAACACGCTGCAGGGGGCAAACACTCGGCTACACACAAATACACATACCAGTGAAGAAGTGTGCGACGCGTCAGGGCAGAAGATAAAAATAGTATTAGTTGCTGATTATTATTGCAAAAATGCGCATTCCACAGCGAAGAGAGAAGGAAAAAGAGGCGGAAAAAGGGGGAGGCGGCAGGCGGAAAAAAAAGGGGGCGGGGTGGCATATGCTGTGCTGTTGCTTTGGCTTTTGCTCCACTCTACGCGCTCTCTCTGTTTTCGTTTCGTTTTCCCTTTTTTCATCCACTCACACACACACACACACACAGAGGCGTGTTTCAAAATGTGTGTGGAGCAGGGGGCGAAAAGGGGGAGGGACAGCAGGAGGGGAATCGAAGCAAGCAAGAAAAACAAGCTAAATTGCATTTTCGTCGTCAACGTCGCTCGACTTGCATTGCAGTCTAGTGCCGGAGAAGGAGGCGTGGGGAAAATTCCAGGGGGGGTTTAGGGGGAAGGCCTTGCAGAGCTGGTAATAAATAGCCACCCCCACCCAGCCTCCCATAGGTTAGATCAATGTAAAAAAAAAATTATTCGGTTTTAAATTGAAAATCCATATCTCGAAGTGTGTTTGCAAAATAAAGTTAAAATGCTGTCCAAAAAATAAAATCAGATTATTATTTATAAAATATTTTATAAGAATTCAGGAACAGCCAAAGTTATTTGAGCCACAAGGACAATTTTGAGATCCTAAAAATATTCAAGTGAATTCAATATCCCAACAGGAATATCTTTATTGCTTCTAACTTTAGCGCGTAGCGAACCTAGTCTCTATTAGCAATTTCCTTTTTGAAGGGTACCCCTTAATTCGCACACAATCCTCTTATTAACCTTCCTTCCTTTCTTGTTTTATCGTTCATTTACTTTTAAAAGCGGCAACAACAGCAAACAGCCCACTGTATTGGTATTTATTGCCCTGCTCTCTGAGCTTCCTACGTGTGTGTGTATCGGTGTGTGTTGTGGAATGCACACGATCAACGCCAATGGAACCTCACCTGTTCCATTCTGCCCCAGTCGACTTCGACGTCGACAGAGCCACAGAGTACAGGGCACCAACAACAACACACTCGCATAATCCACTGCGAATTGCATGCTGGAATGTGAATGGAATCCCAACGATTTCCAGCGTCGCTGACGATGACGCCGCTGTTCGCTGGTTTAACAAAAACAACAATTGCAACAGCACCAGCAACAACTACAACAACATCAATAGTAGTAGTAGTAGTAGAAATAGCAAAAACAAACATTTTTTGCACATTTGGGAGGAGTTTTGTAGTTTTTTTTACCCAGATTGGTTTGGTCTAACTCTTTTTGGTTGTATCTTTTTCGCCACACATTTTATTTTGTAAGCTTTTTATGGAAAATATTTGGAATTTTGATTGGAGATTGTTGATATCAAAGACAGGAAAAGTCTATGATATTATTTCGAAGTTTAATTATAATGGAATAAAGTTGAACGAATTTTACTGACAATTAAATGTGAGTTTAATTTTATAACACGAAGTCCCAATAACTCGAACTTGTTTTTGTGGCAGATTGTGGTTTTAGTAATAGATGTTCGACTCTTTTTCTGGGATTTTCCAAATCAAAGACAAAAACAAAAAAAGTTTGAAAGTACACAATACCTACAAAGTAGATGATTTCCCGTGAAGTTTTGAAAAAGTATACGAAAAAATGTTTTCAAAAATATTAATAAGACCAGGTTTCAAATATAAAAATTATACGAATTTCAGTAACCTATGACACAGACATTTTTTTAAGATTACCGACGAGCAAAGTAGCAATTAACTTTATGAATTTCGGATGGCATACCGACACGCTGACTTCACAAAACAAGGAGGAGGTCTTCAGGCCGCTCGCCCCCTTTTGTTTCTTGCTTTTGCTTTGTGCTTTGTGCTTTTTGCGAAGCATAAATAAGCCGCCTGAGAAATTATTGTCGCACTGACATTGAAGTGGCGGCGCTGCCTCTAATTACAAATTTCAATGGGTTGTATTGCAGTTACTTGTGCCACATTTAGCATCTTTCGTATTTACATTTACTTTGCTGCTCTCGTGGATTTTTCCTCACATTTCTGTTTGTGTGCTTTAAATTCATATGTAAATCGGAGGCAGCTGCTGCCCACGGTTGCATCAACACCACGGATATTGTCACATACATTGTCTTGCCTTTTCTTAGTTACAGTGGGTAATGCTTTATAATAAATTAAAGTGAATAAAAACAGAACAAATAAGAAAAATAATCTTTAGCTTTTTTTAAGGGCTTATATAAAATCATAGTAAAAAAAGAAAATTCTCTCAGTATTTTACTATATCTAGTGTTTACTGTGGGCGCAGATTTTCGTCTTGCGTTTTTTTGTATGCCCGCAATTACCATTACTATTATGGTTTTTATTGTTGTTGTAATTGTCGCGCTTTTGGTTTTTAGCGTTATTATTGTTTTCTTGTTGATATTTTATGACACTTAAATCAGAACGCCATTAACACATATTTCAGTTAAAAAAATGTGAAATAAAAAGATGGAAAACCGAGGAAACTCGAAGCATAAAGTGACCTTGTTTAAAGTCGATGGAAAAATAAAGCAAAAACGAAAGAAAAATTAATTTACACTAGAATGAAGTTAAATATTATTTGAGATTAATAGTTTTCAACAACACAACTACACTATGGGGGATAGAGAGGGAAAATAGAAGAATTTAATCCGATTTGTGTAGCAACCTCTCGCTCTCTCTTTCTCTCCTTCGTTCTCCCCCACACACACACACACGCACACATATTCCACGAGAGAGCGAGAGCGAAATATGTAAATACAGCCTGTTGCATTTGTGTGTGTATTTCGCATTTCGTTTTCAGGCACTTTTCCGCACATTTTTGATTGCTTTTTGTGCGGTTTTCTGTGCAATTTTCCTCGCTTTTCCACACAGACAATTGGAAATGCACACCACACACCAGCACACCCGAAACACACACAATCGCACGCACTCGCACACAGTTTAACATGAAGTATTGCATTTTCTTTTTGGACTGGAAGATACGCAAATTCCAGCTGCAAACGTTGCATTTTCACCAGGCATTTTCCACATTTACCTTCGCTCCTTCGCGTTTTCCACGCAATTTCCTCGCTTTTCGCCTCTTTGTTCTCGCCTATTTCGCGTTTTCCACACACGGCACTTATTGCTTTTCTTCTTTTTTTGCTCCAATTTTTCCTTTCCTTAAGCTGGCAAATCACCGAGATTTTTCACTCGTTTCACTCGCGTTCGGTAATTTTCATATTATCCGTGGATTTAACACCATTTTCCGGGCATTGGCGATGCGTGTTTCGCTTAAATTTAGTAAAAATTAATTCGTGGTTTGTTGCTGCCGTCGTGCTCAGTGTGACCGTGTCGACATCGATGAGAATACCATCCGGCTGAAAAATAAATACCAAATAAAATACCAGATATGGAGGGTGTACAAGCGAACGCCTGAGCTGAGGCGTAGCTAACTGCGGAGTAAGTCTCCGCTAAATACCAAATAAATACCAAGGATGTGCAGTCGCTAAGTGTGGAGGGTATACTCACTAACTACGAAGGGTTGTGTCCGCGCTGGAGGAGCGCTACCAGTACTGTTGCTGATTATTCATAGGTGGCGCTCATTAAAGTAGTGCCCTTAATTCCTCTTCTCTCCCATAGGTGGAGCTACGGTATCGGTTGACTTTATCATCAATATATATAGTCCTTTTATAGAACAATTCATATTTTATTGCAGCTTTTTTCGTATTAAAAAAATATTGGGAAAAGTTGATAAAACTTTTTGAATAATAATTATTAAGGCGATTTTCATAGAATTTTTAAATATTAAACGGAAATTACTACCTTTAAACTATGTAAATCTATTGTAAACTTGTTGGACTCCTAAAGCTAAATCATGATATTAAAGATTAATAAGGTTATTTTTAATAATAATTAGAAAACCAAAACATGTATGCTTGGCAAAATATTTAACCGCTCCTAGTTTAAAAATATCGATAGCATGTTGCTCACAATTGCGCCTAAAAATGATATTATCGATACATTAGCTGTATGGTTTGCTTTGGTGTTTCTGCAATTTCTCGGCATCTTTGTAAATTAGTTAATATGTCGAAGAGCGCACTGGTTATTTTGGCTCCCGGGGCCGAGGAAATGGAGTTTATCATAGCCACCGATGTTTTGAGACGTGCCGGGGTAAGTTCTGTACTTCACCTGTTAAATCATTCTGAAATTACCATATGTACTGATAGATCAAGGTCACCGTGGCCGGACTAAACGATGCGGAGCCGGTGAAATGCTCTCGGGATGTTCAGATAGTTCCTGACACCTCGCTGGCCAAAGTATCTGCGGATAAGTTCGACGTGGTGGTACTTCCTGGAGGACTGGGTGGTTCCAATGCCATGGGGGAGTCCTCGGTGGTTGGGGAAGTCTTGAAGAATCAGGAATCCAATGGCGGACTCATCGCCGCCATTTGTGCTGCCCCTACAGTGTTGGCCAAACATGGAATCGCGTCCGGAAAGTCCCTCACCTCGTATCCCTCGATGAAACCCCAGCTAGTTGATAAATACAGGTATTAATAATCTTATTTAATCCGATTTATAGAATTATACAGATTAAGCTTCTACCTTAAGAATCCTTTACTAAAATGTACCATTTTTCTTGTAGCTATGTGGACGACAAGAACGTAGTTAAGGATGGAAATCTCATAACCAGTCGAGGTCCTGGAACTTCTTTTGAGTTTGCTCTTAAGATAGCCGAAGAACTCGCAGGAAAGGAAAAGGTCCAGGAGGTTGCAAAGGGTCTGCTGGTAGCCTACAATTAAATCACATTAATGCCGCAATCGGAGATTCTTGGTTAATATTTATTAAAGCCCTGTCATACAATTAAGTTCTATAACATTGATGTAATCATGAACTGAATTAAAATTATGTCGAGCAAAGCAATGATTATAAATATTTTTATTTTATTACAAATAAAATGTTGCCAAATAAAAAAAAAAAATTAGCCTGTGATTGGTCCGAAAAGCCAAATCACATAAAAGCCAGTCATTAAAAATTTATAAAAAAAATTTCAAACAAATAAGCTAAATAAAAAATAAATATTTCCAAAAATAAAAACATTTATTTCCAAATTACTTTGGGGAATCCCCCTAGTAGGGTTAAGTCTCTACTATTCATCACCTACCCTAACTTCAAGCCATGGTTTGCGTCTGTACTTGTGGTATTATCATAGTAACATTTTCCCAAAAACCGTTAGCGGTCACACGACCGCAGCGAACGGTTGTTGTGGGTGTTCGTCGGCGTGTTCGCGTTTTTCGCTCGCTCCGTTTACCAATTTGCTACCAATTTATTGGCCAAAAGCGCATTTAATTAACAAAATCAAGCAAATAATTCGAAATCGGTAGAAGTGTTTTAGCGTTTCAAAAAAAAACCAGTTACGAAGTGGCGAAAATCAATAGCAAAGCAAAGTAAATAAAAGTGCATACGAATGAGTGTAAGAAAGAAAAACCAAATGCAAGTGCGTGCCAACAAATAAGAAGTAAGAAACCGAAAAGGAAGCGAATAAAGATAAGAAGTAAAAAGTGCAACGAAAGAAGGAAAAGGAAGAGCTGCAACAAATAAAAAAAATTTGGTGCGGCATTTTCTACGTGACGCGAAATTAAATGCGCTCTCGCCCTCTCTCTTACTCTCGGCCTCTTCCTCTCTCTCTTTGTTGAAATTTAACTGCGAACAGGGTCAAAATAAAAAAAACACGTCGAAGAAATACTTGTGTATATAAATTCTAGGTAATTCCTACCTTCCGTTTTTTCGCGGTTATCGCGCGTGATTCATAAACTCGTATTTAAGTAACAAAAAAAAGAAAACAGAAAATACAGCCGTGCATTGAACCTGCTGAAAACGCTGGGCACCAAGTAAGCAGCCAACATGGATAACAACAGTAAGTTTCACTCCTGCAGTTTTTGTACCCTTACTTAAAGGGGGCATCACGATTTTGGGTCATGTATTAACTCGCTTAGCTCTTGACATTAAACTTAACCAATCGTTTACTTGTATATGTTCCAATAAAAGAATTTCAAATCCTTCGGATCTTCTTAAGGTATCCATCAGATAACAAAGAAGTGATCAGGGCAAATACTTTTTTTATTTTAAACAATTTCAGCTAAATAGTAAATTTTATTTTAATCTGACCTCTAAATATATATTTAGAAAAAGTTTGAACCATTAAGCATAACTTTTATGATTTTGAGATATATTTTAAAATTTTTTTAATATCAGACTTATAAGTTACAGTCTGTAACCGTTTGTTCTTATAGGAAATTTGGGTCAAGTGTGCATTACTTCATCGATTTTTAAAGAGTCTTCTATTCATATAGATTATATTTGCTTAACGATTTTTAAAGGAATTGTATCTTTTTTTTCGTACAACTTTAAGGGTATTATAGAGTTCGACTTCGCGAACTCCAATTCCTTTATCGTTTTGTTGTTGTATTTTCCTAGTTTTTCGGGGTGGGTCCGCCTATTTTTGCCGTCTGCCTTTTGCTCACCATATTCGCATTTTGTGCGCCCGAAAAATTCTTCTTGTTATTGTTGTTTTTTTCGGGGTGGGTGTGTCTTTTTAACCCAAGGACACTACATTTTTCTTTTGTTTTCTTTTCGTCTTAAATCAAATCCCTGGTCTGGCTAACGGTTTAGTTAAGCCCCGTTGTTTTTCACACTTTTTACAACCACGATTCTTACAGCAATAAACCAAAAGTTGGTTAACAAACAAATATAGTAAAGGTTAAAACAAAGAAAATAAGGAAACCGGTTTAAGAGGCTTGCCGAAAAAAGGTCTTTTAAATGAGAATTTTTGCGTTTTGATGATTTCATGTTGCCATCAATTTTACACTCGCCGCCCCGTGGGTTAACGTTAACCCCTCTCCCGCCCCACACTTAACCCCATGAAAACTTTTCAAATTCACAATGGGAACTGGAGAACAAATGTTCTGCGATGCAAATTAGTGGAAATTTTCTCTCTCGCTGGTCACTTTGAAAAAAAACTATGATTCACGGCGAAGTCGGATAAAAATATTGCGGTTTTCAACATTTTAAATAACTCTTTTGTAAGCCCTACTCAATGAAAGCTTTTTATAGTGTTTATTATTATGAAATAAAAATCCATTCACTAAATTTCTTTTGTTACCATAGAGCGCTTTTCAAAGAGTACTGGTTTATAGTGATAAAAATAGACTTAATCATATTTTATTCTTTGTAATTTAAATTTCAGTGATTTGTCAAAATATATAACTAAACAGTTAAATTTCTAACTTCAAAACTGAAAACAGCCGCAAATGCAGATTATTCAATAATATGTATTAACAGTTTTAATTTGAAAGCATTAGTTAATTGCAAATTTAATTAACCTTGTGGCGAAACAAAAACTAAATATAAACTTCAAGTAAAGTAAACATTCGTTTAGCGAGTTACTTTCCTTTTTTTTTTTACATGTTTTTCCAAGTTCAGCTTTTGTTTTCGATTTTATTTTCGATTTTTTCCTATAGGCAGTTCAAAAGACGACCCTTTTCTGACCCTTCGGCTACTGTTCAGTGTTCCGTAGAGAGATAATCCGGGATCGATAGGAACTACTGAGGAGAGGCTCTGTTGGCGGACAATATTAATAAATCTTAATGTGCGTTTCAACCTTGTTGTTATGGCTTCTTTGTGGAGACCCAAGATTGAGCAGCTCTCGTCTTTGTGTTTCGCTTTTTTCCCCGATGTTGCCGGCTGATAATGGAAGCTGATTGAAAGACCCTCCCCATTATCCCCCCCTCCTTGAAAAATATGCACCGCACCCGCAGCAGTTTTTACTGATGATTTCTTTTGATGAACAATTTCCAGGGACAGACAATGGGAAAGGCCGGGCAGCTCTCTATATATATATACACTCACTCGTATTCCGTGCTACATTTGCATCCCAAACAAAGCTGCTTTCTTCCGCTTGTTTAAGTGATTCGGTTGCGTTTATGTAACGCCAACACAAACAGGCAACAATAGCAATCAATGGTCAACACAAATGAATCGCCAAATGAAAACATTTTATCAGATTTCTTATTTGCCACAATTCCCCTTGGCTTTTATCTTATCTGTATCGTATTTGTAGTGTTCCAGCACTCCTTATACCAAAGCTCTCCCGACAATTTAATAAATTGCTCTTGCCACGCCTGGATTTTTTGTCTGGAATTGACTTCTGCGTGGGTTGCGAATGGGTTAATGAAGAACTTGAGAACCAAGCCCTCATCTGGTCGGCCCATTACCATTAGCCACTTCTTATAAACCTCTTTCTCTGCCTACAATTTCTTCATATTCACTGAAAATTTTGAGACCTGATGGATCGCTTTATGAGTCACTTTGAATTCGCTGAATTGGTCACAACGCTCGCGAATTAAGGGCAAGATTTCGGCGATGGGGGAATACTCTATCTATTTAAGGAGTGAGTCATTGATAACAGGTGTTGTTATAGGGGATTTAGTATCGAAATTGGCTTAACAAACTCAAATTAAGTTTGCTTTGGTTGGGCAGGTATCACTTAAAATTTAAAGTTGTTTCGAATTACAAATTAATTTAAACAACAAGACTAATTATTATAAAGTTCAAAAATATTTTAATCCTTAAGTGTACAATAAGCGTTTTTTAACTAATAACATTAATGAAATATATGTTAAGCTTTAATTTTTGAATGATTAAAACCTTTTTTTTTGTTTGTCCGATAATTTTAATCAGTCAATTTTTAAAGAGGATTTTAAGAATTTTTCAGTACTAATGAAACATTTACTTCCATGTTTGAAATGCAGATATTAAATTCTGGGAAAATAATAGCCGGATATGCTCTGACAAGAGTGTTAATGTACAATGTAAAAAAAGATTATATTTTGTTTTCAATTATTTTTCGTTTGCATTTCGTCGCTGGCGAAGCGAACAGAACCGCTTTATTGATATGCAAATAATTTACTTTTCGCAGCTTATTTTTGTTTTTATTTTTTGCTGGTCGAGTGCATTCAACAGTTGTGACTTCAGGTGACTCATTCGAAAATTGGTATAGCAAAATTGTATTTTAGCTGACTTTTTGCGCCTGCCTAGCTATCTTATCGCGATTCCTCAGTCTTGTGCTGCCCTCGCTTATCAAAAAAGGGTAGGGAAATAAATAGAGTATTAGAGATATGAGTTCTCTCGCTCATTCTGCGATGTATGTATGCTTCCGTCCCAGAACTGGAATTCGTTTTAAGAAAAATGTGTGCCAAGTTTATTTAATGTTTGTTCTCCGCTCAAAAATCAACTTAAATTTCCTTGGGTCTTTTTCCGTTTATCTTTATGTTTGTAGCGGAAATATGCGGGTAAGCCGTAAAGCATTCCATATCAATGAACTGATAAGCCCTGAATGAACTCCAAGGCCTCGCTTCTAATGGCATTTTGAGTGGATGGCGGATCGGGGTTATTCGCCGGGGATAAAGTGCAGTGGATTTGTAAGAATTCTTGGGAATTTATTTGTTTACTTCATGTATGAGTGTAATTTTACTTCTTAAACAAAATACTGAGCAATCAATGAGTTTTATTGATTGACGGTATATAATTCATATTTATTAAGAATCTGTTGTGTTAAAGAATTCTATTAAAACTTATTGAAGCAGAGTAACAAACTCACTCCTCATGGAAAATGGCTTATAATATAAACTGTTGATAACCTAATCAAACTTTATATGACACATTTCTAATATTTTATGTCAAAACAAACTATATACTTAATATAGATATTTGTTTGCCTTATTGTTCATTGAAACAATTGATAAGAAAATGTAATGTTTGAGATTTGTAATAAAAATATTTCCATTTGCATATTTGTTTCCTCGGAAAAGCCGCTTTAATCAGCTGTACTCTCTTGACCTCCAGCTTCACAATTTCCACCTCAC